CCCTAAACCCTAAACCGAATACAGATGCCGAGCCTCAGGCCGAGCAAAGGCTCAAGGCGTTGTTGGCCACGGCGCAAAACTCGGTGGCCGAGGCGACCGCCAAGTGCTCCGGCCCTTTTAAGGGGCTTTGGGGTCTCCTTGGTGAGTGGGAGACGGAGGGTTTGGGGCTTTGGGGTTCTAGGCATTTTAACAGTTGAGGGCGCGGGGATCATGCAAAGAAGGTTTTAGCTAGGGAGTGGGATACAGGGATTGCAGGGGTGTAGAGGTAGATGTTCAGTGGCCTTTTCCACGATGAGTACTGTGTTGTGCGTCGAGCTGGGCAGTAAGGGCAGCAGTCGCATCCCTTGTGAAAGAAGATTGAGGGTATACATATACATATACATATATAGATATATGTATAATACAAGTTTTAAAGTTTCGGAGTTCGGCATTGAAACCCTGAGTGCTTCAACTCCTGCGGCTCGTAACGTAACGCGGAGCCCTACAGCTTCACGTGCCCTTCATCATCGCCTCAATGCGGACCATGAAGAATGAAGGTCCACGCTTAAATTGGGATTGAGGGTCGTACGCGAAGTCCTGGTACTGCCCCAAACCCCTTGCATCCTATCATCAAAGCTCCGGGATTCGAGGCTGCAGGCCGAGACAGCAGCGCGGGCCTCCGAGGTGGAACGTCTGGAGGGTGCCCTGCGAGGTGGGTCAAGGGTGGGCTTGGAGCACATATAGGTTTTGGGGAAGTCGGATTGGGGGGGACAGCAGGTAGCCGACTTCCTTCGTTACAGGGTTGGGACGGTTTAGGGAAGTGTCAAAAACTGACCCGAACCCTGGCAGGGCAAAGGTCGGAGATTGACGCACAGATCGTGTCACTTCAGAGCGCCAACCTTGAGCGTCAGGACTCTGTGAAGGACAGGATCCGGGGCATTCTAGAGCAGGGATGTGCTGCTCTTGACCAGGGCGACCTAGAAAATGCTTAGACTAGGCAAGAGAAGGTTGTACAGGTTGCTGTCCTCACGCGCTTGAACGAAGGCTGCAACAGAATCTAAAACTCCACACCCCAGCTCCCCCTTTGCCTTTATAGCTTCTTTCATTCACAGGAGCTCGGCCCGGCTATGAAGGCATTAGTTTCCGAGGCACTTCCTGGGGGACTGCGCGTTTGGGGCACTTGAGGAATGGCTATGAGGTAGAGTGAGTATTTGGGTTTTGTGACTGTACAAGCGCTGTTCAAGGGCTACAAGAGATAACGGGGAGAGGGTGCACTAGCGCATGCGGGATGCTTGCGCAGGGTCAGGTGGTTGCCTCACTTCTTTGGCTGTGGTGAAGAAGTTGCGGATGTGCGGTGTGTGTGTAAGCACATACAGACGGACGGACAGACAGACAGAGACAGACACAGACACAGACAGACGGAGCGCAGGCAGAGACAGACACAGACAGACAGATAGACGGACAGGGACACAGAGAAAGACACGAGAGACAGAACGAGAGAGAGAGAGAGACTCAATGAGGCAGACGAGACAGAGATAGAGATAGATGTATGCATACCTATGCACATGTATACAGACAGACAGGCAGAGACAGACAG